AAAAAAAAAAAAAAAAAAAAAAAAAAAAAAAAAAAAAAAAAAAAAAAAAAAAAAAAAAAAAAAAAAAAACCCAGCCGGTGTAATTTTGACCGAGGCGCAGGAGATCAAAAATTCAAAGGCTTTGGCATTCTTGTTACTTGTGGTAAGTGACTATCATCTGAATGACATTGGAGATTGCACGAGGGCTAGAGAGGCATGGGACATCCTCCATGAAGCACATTCCAGTTATGGCTTGTTGCATCAAATTATTTTGACCAAAGAGCTGTTCAACGTTTCGAAGGATGAAGAAACTAGTGTCCATGATTATGTTGGTAAAATCCAGAATTGTTACCGGAAAATATCTAAGGTGGGAATTGAATTCCCTGACCAAACCCTGGCCTTAATTGTCTTGATGGGCTTGCCAATGGAGAAGTATGAGGGTTTTGTCCGAGGATTAGAACAAGAGGAGTCGAAGTTAACGCTCAACTTGGTTAAGACCAAACTCCTGTTGGAAGAGAAGCGAATGAAACGTGATGATGGTGTTGTAGTGGCAAAGGTTCTTACTACTAGAAGCGATAAGCCGAAGAAGAAAAAACAGAAGAAACCTGTCATATGCTTTACGTGTGGCACTAGTGGGCACAAATCTCCTGAATGTAGCAAATTTAAAGAAATGATGAAAAAGGCTGGACGCGAAGAAGAAGTGGGACCATTAGAGAAGAAACTGTCCAACGTTCGCTTAGATGATGTTCAGGTATTATGTGCAAACAAAAATTCAACACTAAGGTGTCCCGGTTTATTTTTATTGGATTCCGGAGCCTCCGATCATATGGTCAACGATGCATCTCTATTGGAAAACTATTCGAAAACTCGTGGTAGTGTGAAGGTTGGCGATGGCAGCCCAATCGAAGTAGTAGGATCTGGTGCTTTGCGTATGACTATGTCCAGCGATTGTGGTGAGTCGACTATTTTACTTACTCATGCCCTTTGCGTTCCATCCCTAAAAGATAACATCATATCTGTCGGCAAACTTGAGGAGAAAGGTGCAGAAATTATTTTTTCTGATGGGAAAGCCACAGCTTCCAAGAATGGGTGGCTCTTGTTTATGGCTTTCCGTATTGGCACCATGTATGTTGTCACAACTACTGATTTTAATGGCGAAATTGGTGATGTTGAAAGTATGGTTGTGAGGGTATCATTGTCAACATGGCATGAGAGAATGGGTCATGTGCATTTAGAAGCATTGAAAAACCTTCCGATAAGGGCAATTGAAGCTAAAGAAGCCCAAACTGATTGTGAAGTGTGCATAAAATCAAAGTTAAAGAAGAGTCCATTCCCGGATCGGAGTGAAAGAACGGAAAATGTCTTGGCTCGCATCCATTCAGACTTAATGGGTCCAATTAGTCCAAATTCTATGGGCGGAGCAAAGTATATTGCAACCTTCACAGATAACCACACAAATTTTGTAGTTGCTGTCCCCATAAAGAATAAAAGTGATACAATGGGAGAATTTGTGAAATTTCAGAAAAGGGTCGAAAACCTACATAATACCAAGATTAAAGAGCTTCAGAGCGATAATGGTGGAGAGTACCTCAGTGGTAGGTTCATCAAATATTTGGAAAATGAGGGCATTTCTCATCGATTAACAGTTCCCGGAAACCCTCAGCAAAACGGTAAAGCGGAAAGAATGAACCAGACTCTCATGGCTGTTGTACGCTCTTTACTTATTCAATCTGGCATGCCTCAGACATTTTGGGCCGAAGCCCTCAATACTGCTTGTTTTCTCCGAAATCTCAGCCCTTCGTCCGCGATAAAGGGTATGATACCCTTGGAACTCTGGCTTGGCAAGAAATTGACCGAAAAAGATTTTAATAGATTGAAAGTGTTCGGTTGTCAAGCCTGGGCTGCAGTTGTACCTAAAGATAAGTTGAGCCCAAGAGCTGAGTTATGTATCCACCTTGGTTATCCGGACAATGTCAAAGGTTATCGCCTCTGGAGTATGGAACGGAAAAAGGTGATCATAAGCAGAGATGTTCGATTTCAAGAAAATGTTTTTCCCTACAAGAATCAACAAACAGAAATACGTGAAGAACCTTTAATGATAAATTTTGAGCAGTTTGATGAAGATAATACCGAAGAAACTTCTGATCATAACCTGCCCTTGGATGAGGTCCACGCTCCAGAAATTGGTGATCCAGAGGGAGATACTGCCCAACCAAATCCTACAGGAAATCAGGGTCCAGCAGTTGTTGATGTTACAGGTTTAAGGCGTTCTAACCGTGAGAGAGCTGAAAGGCAGCCGTGTACTCTACCTTGTTGCAACACTGTATACAGTCATGCACATACTGTACCAGCAAACGCTCATGAGGCACTCAACAGCCCTGACTCCAAAAACTGGGAAGCTGCGATGGATGCAGAATTGAAGAATCTTGAATCGCAAGAAACATGGAAAATTGTGGAACGTCCCCCTAAAGTGCGTGTTATTGGTTGCAAATGGGTTTACGCCTTAAAAGAAGGCCCTGATGGGAAAACTTTGAAATTCAAGGCAAGACTCGTCGCTCAAGGCTTCAACCAACTCTATGGAGTCAACTATTTTGACACGACTAGCCCGGTGGTAGAGAAGAAGACAATTCGGTTGCTGACATGCATTGCAATACAGAATGACTGGTCGATTCAACACCTTGATGTGGTAGGGGCGTATCTCCACAGCACGTTAGAAGAGGACGTTTTCATGGAGATTCCTGAAGGCCTGCCCTACAAACGAAATCGTCTTGTTTGCAAGTTACTGAAAAGCTTATATGGTCTGAAACAGTCCGGCAAAAATTGGTATGATTTTTTTAACTTCACTTATGTTAATCTTAGGATTTAAAAAATGCGTAAGCGAACCCTGTGTCTACTTCAGGACAGGGATCATTGTGGCTGTTTATGTCGATGATTTTTTGGCAGCCGGCACAACAGCTGCCTAAACTATTTTTAAGAATGAAATTGCTCAACATGTACAAGTGAAAGACTTAGGTGATGTTAGCGTATTTCTGTCGATTCAATTTGAACGTCCAGAAAAGGATGTTGTTTTTATACACCAGAGTAACTATATCGTGTCTTTACTAGAAGATTACTCTTTAATTGATTGTAAAGGAACGTCTAGCCCTCTTCCAAGTGGTATTTTTGAGTCAAAGGTTGAAGAGGAGTGCTTTGACAAAGAAACGTATCAGAGAGCAATTGGCAGTCTTTTGTACCTCAGCACTTGCACTCGCCCTGATATTGCGCTTGCAGTTTGTAAGCTAAGTCAATTCTGTGCTAATCCCACTGAAATTCACTGGAAGGGAGTTATTCATTTACTTAAGTATTTAAAGAAGACTATCAATTATAAATTGTCGTTTAAAAAGGGAGGAAAGTTCACTTGTAATAGTGACTCCGATTGGGCAGGTGATAAAGTAACTGGCAAGTCTATCACTGGCTATGCTTTGGTAATTGGTGGCGGAGCAGTGTCATGGAGAAGCCGCAAGCAAAAATGTGTCGCGAGCTCCAGCACCCATGCGGAATATATTGCACTGTATGAGTGCGCCTGTGAACTGACATGGCTCCAAACGTTTATGGCAGAGATAGATCATTGTTTCTTACTACCCTGTAAACCTATTCAAATTTTCTGCGACAATCAGGGTGCTAATTCAATTGCACAGAATGACGCTGTCAAAGAACGAAGCAAGCATTTTGTTGTAAAATACTCTTTTGTTAGAGAATTGGTAAGTGAGAGAGAAATAGACACGGTTTATATCCCTAGTAATGAAAATTGTGCTGACCTCTTTACCAAACCTCCAAACTTTGCAATTTTCCCAAATGCTTGGTCTTGTAACTGATTAATTATTTTTATTGCATTAATTTTGCGTTTGTTTCTCAACTGTTTTTCTATTTTTCCTTAGAGGCTTATTGCAAAATCTTTTTCGTTTTTTTACAGAAATTACACAGAACAACTGTACCAAAATTAATCTTAAATGTCTAAGCGACACTTTGCGTCTCCTTTTGATTTTCAATGTAACTTTCAAATTTAAACAGAGTTCTGCGAGTAAATTTTTTTGGTGTTGCTCTTTAGTCCTTGTCTTAAATTGTTGTTCCTTGTTTGCCCGATATTCCGTAACTGCCTCAATTGTTAGTTTTTTTTTTCTTAAATTTCCTTTGTGGTTCAAAATATCCCAGAGCGAGGGAGGGTGTCAGTATGCACTCAGTGATATTTTATCTTGATTTGTCTCTTGGTTTCCCCAGTCGCTCACTTGGAGCGCTCTGTTTGTTTTTTGTCTCTCACTATGATGAGGATGTGACCTCTAGATGTTCTTTTGTGCTCTCTCTCTGCTTTTTGTTCAATAAATAAAAAGCCTACTTTGTGAGATATGGACGATTTTTCTTTTCATCCACTGTTTTTAGTTTTTTAGACTTCAACACTTTAAGCTGTGTAAATTTTCTCGGTAGCTCTCTCCATTGATAGTGAAACATTGGGGAGCATATTCATGATGGATGACACCTTCATGATCAAAGAAGACAGTCAACATTGTCTTCACATTGCTGCGACTCTTCCGAGCTTTCTACAGGCAAGGTCTCCCACGTGCGGTTGAAACTGACAATTGCACTTTTATCCGAGGGTCGTACCCGTAGACCCAAGAAGCATCCCTTGTGATGATCTTCTTCAAAAACTCTTCCCACCCCACTCTCCTTTACTTCTTCTTTTTTAGGAAAAACGAAATCTGACGATCACAGCAGAATAGCACGCATTGATCAGCAAATTACCAACGACTGGTTCAACAGGTGATAATCCGGCTATGCTCCTGCACTCAGGAGAGTCCCTGCAAAGATGATCTCAAGCCCCAACCTCTTATCAACCGTTGATGGCGAGATAATCAACGAGGTCGGATACTTTCCGGACAGACCTCATATGAACCTAAATCTTCAACACACATTAATAAATAATGATGATACAGTCAACTTTCTCTGACAATGAGTCAAACCCTGGCAAGACCCAGTTTTCCTTCGACTATACAGGTAATCAAGGTGGTGGTATTCTATGTAGGTCTGCACTGTCACAGGTTTAGCAATCCTGCAGCTGGTATTCCCTGATTCAAAGGGGGCTTCGGAATCGCTTTAGGCCCAGCTCCTAGAGTAAGAACTGCACAGGAAAAGTTTACAGTATCCGCAGTCTTATCACTATTTGAGTTAGCTGTAAATTATTACTATTTGAGTTAGCCATGAATTACTCCTATCAGCCTTATTAAGATTCGGTGGGATTTCTGAAAGTGTCTACGTTAGGAGAAAATTAGACTTAAACAGTACATAACTTAGAGAAAGTTGACTGCAATGATAAAAAAATAATAAAAAGTACTTGGTATTTTGCCTTTCAGACAAGTTAATAAATGAAGAAAGATATTTACAAACCAATCCAGCTGGTTTATGAGTTGCCTTAAAACTATAGTACAAAAAACAAGTTAAAACATTTTTGGAACTAATACTCAAGTCAAGGCAAAATGGGAAATCTTCAGTTCATGTGTTGATTCTTCGATCCATTTTAAAGCTCTTTCGGCCAGGCTTACTCAGACCATTACTCTTCCGTGCTTCAAAGAGAACATCAGAGTCAGAATCGGATTCAGTGACAGGTAAAACAACTGAAATAAAAGTTCAAAAGGTTTAGCTGATAATCTCATGAAGAAATCGACAGGATTGACTGTTCTGAAAAACTGAAGAAATGATGCAAGACAACTGCAAGAAGAAAAGAGCTTGATGCAAAAACGGCTTTTTTCGCGCCCCCTCTGGAATTTCTTCAGACTTTGTCTATTCATTACTCATACTTGAGCGCTTCTTTCCTCAAAATTTCAGACCCCCAAAAAATTTTGGGGGAAGCTAGGGGGGTGGAAGTCATAACCTGTGAACCTCCATATTTCTCCAATGAAGAAAGATATCCAGGTCCGGTTTGGACGAAAATCGTCTAAAATTGCATACTTTAAAAATCTAAAGGTCGGCTGTCGGTCCCATTCCGAACTGTGCAATACAAAATTAACTTGCTACCACCCCCCCCCTCCCCAAAAAAAAGACAGACAAGTAAGAACTCTCTGGTACATAATGATGACTGAATGGAAGACCTTCTTGAAATCTCGTACCTTCTTTTCCGCTACACTGCTATAAACTCGAGGATTTTCTGAGAAAACTTGACGATTATGCAGTTTCTAAATAGGGTTTAGGGAAGCTGGTAAACGCCCAAAACAAAAAATCCTTAGGTGTTCCTGTTTGCAGCGGCCTAAAGTATTTGAGAAACAGCCTGTATAGTGGTGATTTCAAGTTTCTGTACTTTCGAATTTTAATTCTTTTGCAACTTTTTAGGTGTGGAGTTGATTTGCGATAGTTTGTATTTATTCCAATCCTGAATCAACTGATTTCAAAGACCCCTGATTACAGAGATTTAGGAATAGGGTCTTCTTCCACAAGTTTGCTGGTACTGCAAGACGTTTTATGCTCTTGTTTTTTAAGCGACTCCCAAGAAAATCAGGATTTCATTCTTTTTTTGGGGAGGAAGTAGAATTCTGACACAAAACTAAGTATATAGTCCAATAAATTGGGGGTTTTAATGCGGTTTCGAGGGCTGAACTTTTTTTCTCACCCAGTTTCTCACCGACCGGGAGTTCCAGAGCCCTCGTCTACTATCTTCTTCTCAAAAACAACCGAAATCTGAGTTTTGAGACGAACACTAGTGGAGGTAAATCAACCTCGAAGAGTTCAATGAAAATATTCTCAGTCTCCCAAAACCCAATCTTGGGGGTTTTCTAAGGGGGGGGGGTGCTCCCCGTTTCTCGCATATTTCAAAAGCGAAAGGGTATGTTTGACTTCGGATTTAAATTATTTTGCGGTAACAGCCAAAAAAGGAGAGAAAATAACCGATTTTCAACCATTTTTTTCGACTTTGTGGGGGTTTTCCAGGTTTTCCCATACTTTTTCGAGGGGCATCTGGATGATCGTTCAGGACCCTTCATACGGGGTGTTCCAGAACACCCGGCCGTCCGCTATCTTTTTCTTGGAAATGGCTGAAAATTTAGCTTTGGGATGAAAACTAGTAGAGGCAAACCAACCCCAAAGAATTTAATGCAAATATTATCAGTCCCCCAAAACCCCATTTTGGTGGTCCTCTAAGGGGATTGGGGTCTTGGTATGCAATGAAATTATCCGATTTTCAAAATCTAAAAGTCCTCTGGAAGAATAAGTCAATGCCTGTATATTGATGTGCAACATGACCCCTATTGATCAATAATCATAGAAGCCACGACCTCCCAAAAATTTGGAGCTTTGTAGGGCCGTAAGTCGAAAATTTCCATACGCAAGGGTATGTTTTGACTCGAGATTTGGATTCTACGCGAAAATTTGCGTAGAATTGATGTGGTGTATGTCCTATTCGCCCCTAATTACTTGATGACCCCATTTCCTCATAGTGAGCCATGTATTTTTGAAGAAAGAAAGGGGCAAAGAATAATTTGGGGCAAATAGGCTCTACGTCATAACAATTCTACGTAACTTTTCGCGTAGAATCCAAATCTTAAGTCAAAATAAATCCTTGCCGTTTGAAAATTTCAACTTACAGCCCTCCAAAGCCCCAAATTTGTCGGGGGTCATGGCTCCCATAATTATGGATCAACAGGGGTAATATGCCACATCAATAAGAAGGTATTGACTTCTCCCGGGGGACATTTAGATTTTGAAAATCGGATCCTTTTAACGTCTATAGTGTCTAACTGAAATTTGCCCCAAAATGCCCTGTAACTCCAAAAAAATGGGGTTTAAGGAAACAAAATGTTCTTATTTTTGGCCAAAGAATTTAAATCCGAAGTCAAAACATTCCCTTCCTATTTGAAATATGCGAGAAACGGGGGGCATTACCCTAAAAGACCCCAAAATGGGGTGTGGGGGACTGATAATATTTTCATTTAATTTTTTGGGGTTGGTTTGCCCCTACTAGATTTCATCCCAAAGCTAAATTTTTGGCCATTTCCGAGAAAAAGATAGCGGACGGGTGTTCTGGAACACCTGGTATGAAGGGTCCTGAACGATCATCCTGATGCCCCTCGAAAAAGTGCCCTCGGAAACCCTGAAAACCCCTCCAAAGTCGAGGAAAACGGTGGGATATCGGTTATTTCCTCTCGTTTTTCGGCTACTGTCGCAAAATTTGAAAGCGGAACTTTTCTTCTCACCTGATTCCTCATTCATAGAGGGTCCAAAACTAGAATTTAAATTTGCCCCCTTGATAAAGTATAGGAACCTCCCCGAAAAACCCCCCACCCCTCCCCCATATCGAAGAAAACTGTCGAAAATCGGCTATTTTCTCTGCTTTTTCAGCTACTATCGCAAAAACCGGTGATGTTTTATCTGCCTATAAGTAAGAGGATCTTACTTGAAAGCAGATAAAATTGTGGTCATCTTTAACTATAGTTTGTGTCACTTGCATGAGCGGGAGAGAGCAGTGATATCGTGAAATGGTCCGCCCCGGGAAATGCTTTTTGAGACTGTAACTTTGGCAACGCCGAACGCCATCTCGTTACGCACGCCTTTAGGACACGTTGGAGACACGAAATTGTAGCATTTTTAATCTACTTTCACTTGGTACAATATAAGAACCTTAAAAATTTGCTGAAAAAAAGTTGCAAGCAAAGAACCATTAAAAAACGAAATTTTGAAAATGACGGGTATTTTTGAAAACCTTGTAGTGAGCACATTTTTCGTCAAAAAATTTCAAATCGGACAAAAATGACCATCATTTTATCTGCTTTCAAGTAACATCCACATACTTTGTCGAAAAAGCACCGGTTTTGTCGATAACAGCCATAATACAAGAGGTCTTAACCAATTTTTCAACGTTTTTTTTCGATTTGGGGGATTTTCCGGGGTATTATCGTGGGGGCAAATTTGGATTCTCGTTTAGGACTCTCTATAGATGAGAAAAAAAGGTTATCTCTCAGAACTTGCAATAGTAGTCGAAAAACGAGAGAAAATATCCGATTTTTGACGGTTTTTTATTCGATTTTGTAGGTTGCAG